CGGCGGCGGCTGCAAGAGGCACGAGATGCCTTGGCTAGTTGGTGCGGAAGCAGGGCTCCATTAGTTTCAGGTGTTGATATATTCTTTTTGGGAGGAACATTTGGAGGAAAGTTTGGAGCTCTGTGGAAGCGCTTTTTCAACTTGCCCTAAGCGAGGCTTGAACCCAGGAGGTCTTTCTTTTGGGGAAGTGAACCACGCATAGATTAGTCTGCAGCTTCTGGAGGCAGCCAAAATCTACTCCGAGCGAGTTCGAGGCGGACAAAAAGTTATAGTGGGGCACTTGGCCGAGCATCCTGATTCTTTCTCGCCTCGATTTCCATGGAAACGCAAATTAGGTGGTGCTGCTATCGGCCGGAACAACGCACAAGCACAGCTCCTAGCTTTACGCTGCCGATGTTTTTTGGCATGGTTACATGGTGAGTCCTGAGATGAGTTGCGATCATGTCGTGAAAACACTGTTTGCTGTAAATATATGTATAGGTGAAGTGATGTTTTTCCAGGCCCATGCCGCGCGATGCTGTCTCTGGCTTTCAAATCTACGAAGCCGAGGCAGGGCGTTTGGAGTTTGGAGCTTATGGGGTCACATCTTGAGTATTTGAGTTGGAAAGGAGACCAAGGGTCTCCAATGTCGAGAAGCGCCCAATGGGCGTTGTCCTCTTGGTTTTCCTTCAAAACAAGACAGGACAACCCAACTCAAGGTGGGCACTCGCCACCGAGGCCAATGCAAGGTGTCTGATCCGAGAGTTCCACGTACCGGCAGAGGAGCAGCTCAGATTCGTAAAGCCTCCGTACGCTCCGGACGAACATCCGGAAGCTCCCCCCCCCTTGGCCTCTGTAAAAGGAGCCAAGTTTTTCCAGTTCGGGATGGGAGCTTCCGTGTGAATCCGGGGGAGGGTAAACAGGCCCTCTTGACAAGCCTTAAGGAAGCGGGCAAATGCCGTGCACCCATGTCCGATTCTTATTTGTGGAATGGTGGGAAATGGTGATCAAAGCCTGCCATTGAGTGATGCAGGATGTCTATGAGGAGAATTGGTCCTTGGACACGCACCCTGGCACATAGTAACTCGCTGTCGCGATTGACAGCCGCCAGCATGTCTGTGCAATTGCCTTTGCCTTTGCAGAACTTGTGCAGTGTGAGTATTGCGAGACATTTGGTACGTGCGTGCAAAGGATTGCAAATGCATTCTTCTTACGGCCGGCTCCTCAGTGAAATTGAATCGCGGCATGTGTGACAAATCTGTCCGTTTCGGCTCACGACTGGTGATTTGTTTTTTCTGGCAGCTGGGATTTGCTTTTGGCTGGCTTTGGACATGAACCGAGAAGCAACGGTATTGACCTTGTTTCAGAACCATGCTCAATGCCGACTGGTGACTTCGATCATCGAACCGCGCCTCCTATGTTTACATAGCATGTAGGAGAACTTGCTCAGGAGACCACATCAAGAAGCCTGAACGTATGGGCAGGTGTGTAAGTTTCAGAGGGTACCCGTTTTGGGGTTGGCTTGGAGGGAAACGAAGGAAAAAACATCTTTGGGGACGCGCCACATATTTCTTTTAACATGCGACATGACATCGACAATCCCACGATATAAAGCCTCAGCGCTAACTGGAGCCAAGTTTTCAAGCCATCGGGTGCATTGGAGTAGGGATCGCAGGTTCGCGCAGTGCGCTTGTAGCGGCAGTTCATGCTGTAACTTGTGCACAGAGCAAATCCAATTCCAGCGCCACAGAGGATGATAGAATAGATTAGACGTGACACAACCACTCTGCATATGCATGTATGCCACGAACTGTTCAATCAGGAAATGCGGTTTGACCCATCCCCCCCAAAAAAATATCTGGCGGTGCCAACTAGTCGAGTGTTTCCGGGAGCGACTCCTTGATCCGAATCCGTGGGACCGGGATGAGGACAACCCACACAGACATGGCAGGCTGGAACAGGCCAGTCCGAGCGCGCCTGACTGCGATGGCATTTTTTTGGTTGTTTTGCATGCCTTCTTTGGGTTTGACATGTTTGACGGGAATCCGAAAGGAAGCATGGTGGCAATGGCAGGCTGCTGGTGGTGAACAATGAGTTCCACATGCCGCGGACGCGGGAAATCTTTAACAAGGCCTTGTGATACAAAACTGGGCTGTTCAGAGGCAATCCTTAATCCTTGCCTTGGCTTGGGTAATGATTGAATGGGTGCCCCTTGTAGTGTTTTTTTTCTTCTAGGGATTAAGGATTTTGATTGCCAAGCCTCCAGAATGAACAGCCCAGCAGGAGATGCTATGTGTTGATTCTCAATGCTGTCGCAAGGTGTTTGCTCTAGAGCCACTGCAGAACGGGCCGTACAGTGCGCGGCTGAAATACATGCTTTTCTCGAAGATGGTTTCGACTACCCCAAGCCACTCCCATGCGGAAATGGGGTAGTATACACTACGTAAAAGGTAAACACACCCCATTTTCTCCTTGGGTGGTGGGGGTGTAGTGGCAACCCTAGATCTTCATCTAGGTGCGAGTGCGCCAGTTTCACGACTCGGGTTAGGCCTGGAGTACGCAGAGGTACCTGATGAAGGCCATTGGGTATTGCAGAATGCGGAATTTCAGCAGCTTGCTTCTGCTTCTCATGCTGATGACGCTGCTGTTCATAGGTGTCCGTTTTAGGGTGTGGTTAGAAATAGATGGGCTCCACTGGTTTAGATCGGTGTTACGTCCTATGTACCAGGGGGAGCCCATCCTTTGTTCTTTTGTTTCTCCAAAAGGACACCTATGCGCAGATGACCTAAGTGACCGTCTACCCTCCTATCCATTAACATGGAACCCAGAGAACTGGTCCCAGGAAATTCAGAACCAACCCACCGGACCCATCATTCCTCCTGTCCAGCAACATGGAAACCCGAGAAATGGTCGGAAGATCGTCCAAACCTCCAGGCTTATTCTGAGACCTATGCTGCCCGACTTGTTGCAGGTGTTGCACCGGATGTCCTGGAAGGCCGCAAGGCGCGCGAGGCAAAGTCCCTGGCGAGCTTCAGGCGCTCGCCTAAAGCGGCAGATCAAGCAGTGTCTTTGGGACGTTGGGGTTGATAGCGATCTTTGGGTGGCTCGTCTTTTTTGGGGGAACCCCACAAAATGGCTTCGGTTTCCTTTTGGTGTCCCATAAAAGCGAACGAAAAGGGTCCCTTCAAAGAAGCACTCCCGATTTCTGGCCCCAAATAATCATAGGGCCATAGGTAACTCTTCCCGTTTAGTGGTTGAAAACACTTTTTTTGGTTGGTTGGCTTGCGTGATGATCATACCATGCTCGGACCTCTTGAGCACCCTCCCATGATGGCAACTGTGAAGTGAAGGAACATTTCAACAGGTACACTCACCACACGACCATTTATATTCCTTGGTTTGAAGAGTTGCCATTGCCAACTTCAGGCAACGGGAGTTACCAATCTACATGTAGAGGACCAAGGCTCATGTGAGCAACTGTCAATTCTTGGTAGTCCACTCTTGGTTTTGGGACGCACATGGGGGGACAGCTCAAGTTTCCAACAAGCTCCCGCGGAATTACCTCATTTTCCTATGTGGGGGGCCACAAGTAGTTGTCCTCATGACGCTGCGGAGGAAAACGACTGCTGGAATGACCACCATGCAGCAGATGCATGTCCTTCAGCCCTGTTTGAGATCGATCAGGCCTTCCGCTTCGGTCGGGTGTTTCTCAAGATTAGACCAGAAGCCAGAAGCTTGTACATAAATATATTTTTGTTCGTGTCTCTTTCCTATCAACTTTCCATCTTCAATCTTCAACATGAGAATTGCAATGACGACGCTGGAAAGGGACATATTGAAACAAATAACGAGATACACAGAACATGATTTCTGTCTTCTCTAGAGTCTATTGATTTATTGATGGCTTTTCTTTTTTAATTCATTTTCCCCGATAAGAGAGGACACCAACCTGGAGGACTCGGTCCTGTTTGAGAAATGGGGTTTGTCTCAAATGGCAAGGGCTTCCTTTTGGTTTCATGTTAACAACCAGCCAAGAAAGGGGTGCCCTCCCACGTTGCCTGGCATCCCTTTACAAGGAGCCTGATCTTCCAGGTACCCTCCCACGTTGCCATGTTTGTGGGAGGGGTAACTTGAAAAAATGGAACCCCATGCACCCAAGTCTAGAGCGGCCGTGGCAGGCGTTCCTCTTTGAAGACCACCTGGCCTATGCCTCCAAGAGACTTCTGAAGGTGGGGCGGACAGGCTCAGTACCCATTTGATTTTTGCTTCTTCATTTTTTGTTTTTTTAAGGGAACCACAAGGACACCCCTCCATTTGCTTAGTTGTTTTTTAGAGAGCCAAGCAACAAGACTGTAAATCATCATGTGGGTATGCACCAGGGGACCGCAGGTTTTAGTCCTTGTTTCCATTTTCCATCGGTTATCAGTTTAGTCTCCCCTGAAGCCTCCCGCCGATGTCGTTGGATTTCCAGCGAGTGAGAGAGTTTGGCCTGAGGACCGCGAGCGTGTGGATCCCGTGGTGGCTGGATCATACTGAGCCGGAGTCGGAAACATCCGTGCCTCTATTCTTGACTGCTATTGGGTTGGATCTTTAGACTGGTGTCCACTAAACCACCAAACAGTTTAACTTTTTGCTGGGGGTCAACAGCAACCAAGTATTCAGGTAAGCCTTAATTGGTGGTTTGGAGTTTGGGGATTTGAACTCTCGGTGTTTGTAGAGGGTACATGGGAAGCCACCAAACCACGAATCCAAACCACCAATTGTGGAGGGAAGCTGATCTAAGATGCTTTCCACTGCCCCCAAACAAAAGCTAATCCGAGGGGTAGCTTCTGTATAAAGGGTATAAACACCAATTTATCGTGTGGGTGGTGGTTTGGGGATAGTGGAAACCATCTTAGAGTGCCTGTGCTTGAGCTCGCAGGGAAAGCCCCTCCCACAAAAGACAATCCACAGAACTCGGGGTGATTCAGTTCTCCAACGCGCTATTTCAGAAACATATGATGTGCATGGGGAATTGGCTTAGAGATGACGGCATGGAGGTAGCCAGTTTCATGCGGGCACCATGCTCGAGATCGCCTGCGTGGTTCGCAAGCTCTGTCTTTCAGCCCAGTTTGGGTCGAGCACAGAGCTCGCCGAGCTCGCCCCGCACGCACGGCTCGCTGAATCGAGCTGCGGTGCTGGCGTGGTCGCTGGGCCTCATAAAGGGTCGGCGACAGCGAACTTCACGCCGAGCGGCAGACAGGCCTGGTGTGGAGTGGCCATGAGTGAGCGCACTGAAGTCCATGGAGGAAACCTTCATGACCTGGTGGTTCCCAGCCATGTTAAGCTTTAGTGGTGACCACTGGAAGTTAAACCTTTGGCAGGGGACCTGGGAGCAGCCCAGTTGTGGGAGGTGTAAAATGCACCGAGCCCTTTGAAGCGAATGCTTTCCGAATCAACTTTCGAGGCTCCGCATCGCCGGGCGACATCTGGTGGATGAGGAGGGCCGCATCGTTCTGCCCCGGGGGATCAACTTCTCGGGCCTCTCCAAGGCGGGTGTCGCAGAAGGTTCTTACTCGTCATGCCACGTGTCTCCGTTTTCACCTCTTTCCCTCATGTGCTCCTTTCGTTTGGCTTGTCTGTTTCCGTTCGCTGCTCTGTGCCAAAATATGGAATCTAAGGGTGGTGTCCCTGCCAACCCCAGAAACCATACACCTTGGCATTTGTCTTGCGGAGATCCCCCAAGTTGTGGTGTTTGCTTTGGTTTCCCTGTTAAAGCGATTACACCCGCAAGGGCCTCCAAACAGCGCAAAGAGGGAGCTACTCGTAGGACGCAGCCGTATTTGCAGTCACAGGCCGTATTTGTTTCAGCAATGCCCCCGGTTGAGGCTACCAGGGAATGGAGCCCGGAAGGTTTGTATTGGGAAACTCCTTTCCAACCAATACCACGGGATGTTTGCATCGAGTTCATTTGAACGGACAAAACACACTGATCATGAGCAGAGCCTGATTGTCTGGTTTGAGTTTCCACGCTTGTTGGCGGCACATGTTTGGATGCGCGCGCAGCGCGCAGTCTGTTAAGTAGTCTTGGAGATTTGCGCAGATCGAATCTGACCGGAAACGAGACCAACGATTCCAACTCTCGTGTGAAAAGCGTCCGTTGCCAGGTGCCCCGTGTGCCGGAGGGTGCCACCCACCTGGGTGGCCCAAGCTTCTACGAGCACCGGGAGGTGTCCTTCGTGGGAAGACCCTGCCCTTTGGAGAGACTCGAGGAGCACCTCAACCGGCCGCTTGGAAGAAGCTCAGGGCTTCATTGGCTGTGGGTCGAAGCCCTGGCACCCCCCTACCTGCCAGATTCCCTTAAAAAAAGGGATCCAACCAAAGGGTGGGGTACCAGAGAAAGCCAGGTGATATCCCCAACAACAACCCCTGGAACCGAATCTCCTTTCGAACCCTCCCTGATTCAGCTGCCCCAAGCCAGCCCTTGATTTTCCCTTTGCACCGGTCAACAGCTAGCAAACTTGGAAGGGACTCGGGTGTTGGGAGCTGCATTGTTCAAGATGGGCAAGAGAGCTTTCATCTGGAGGATCATGTTACAGGGTAACTCACATTTAGGTGGTTTTGGTTTGGGGGTTTGAACCCCAGCACCTTTTGAAAGCAAATGGGGAACCACCGAACGAAACCACCAAGTAGGGGTAAGGTGAATGTTGGTTCTTTCTTGTCGCTGGGCTTCTCATGATGTTTGGCAGCGGTCGCCTGGCTTGGCTTGTGAGTACACGTAAAGCCCACAAATCCAAGTCGCCGGTCCTATGCTTGCGCTGGGGCGTGAAGCCACGCTTAAAGTCAGGCTGCAAAACTTGCACTGATCCAAACCCATGAGTTGCCAAGGTGGTGGTATTTTTTGTCGACGCTATATGAGCCACTATCACAACCTGGGTAATTGGAGGGTAGTAAGGGAGAATCGGTTCCGCCGCCGTTTCAATTCTTTTCATGGTGCTGGGTACACCATTGTACTACTGATCGGTTTTGATTCTGTCTCGTATGGGTTTGTCTCATGGGAAATGTACCCATCGTCATTTGGGGGCCGAACGGAATATGGATCAACCTATAGTTTGCCCATTTGGGTTTGTCTGAAAATAGGAGACCCCCTAACATGGTTGGTTTCTCTTTAAAGCAACCCCCATAAAAGTTATCTTCAAAAGACGGAACCACACCTATTTTGGTTGGACCCTGCATCGCGAGGTTGCATTTGGATCACTTACGGTTGGATGCAGCTGGACACATGAATCTTTATTTGTGGGTGTCTTGTTTAGCCCCCCCCCCCTCAAATTGGTTTTCCTTTAGACATCAGGCAACCCTCCCAAGAAAAAAGAGACCCCCCAATGAATGGCGATTTTCCTCTTGGCTTCCTTTCCCACCATCCGGCACCCTCCCAAAAAAATGGATCGAGAGACGCCGATTTTTCGGCCGCTTCCCCGATTCGACGTCGAGGCTCCGCGGCTGGGGCTTCACCCTGCTGCGACTGGTGATCACCTGGGAGGCGGGCTTCACGTGGCTCCCTTGGGAGGGTCCCAGCCCTCCGATTCGGCTCCTTTGGTGGTTTTCTTTAGTTTTGGCTTGGGTGTTTTTGCGTGCTTTCTAGTTGGTTTACTGGTGGGGTTTGTGTATTTAAGCCACAAGTTGAACTTTGAGCAGGGGATCTGAGGACAGCCAGGTCACAATGACCCTCATAATGATTTTAAGGATCCTGACCAGGATGGCCGTCCCTACTAACCTCAAGTATGGGGGTCTTTGGACCAATGAAGCGGATCGGAGAGACGGTGGAAGCACTCCGCCCATAGTGTTGGCTTGAACGTGTGATCCATCTCCACTTTTTTGACAACTCCGGGTCTACCAATCAGAGTGGGTGGATGGGTTCAGGATGGAGGTTGGTGAGCAAAAAAAGAAGAAGGATGTCTTTTAGGGGCTGAGTGAGTGCACGGCAGCAAACCAACGTAGAAGCAGAAAGCAGGAAAGCGTGAGGCAATGGCATAAAGACAGAAAGGCAGATTCGCAGCACACCTTGGAATTACATTGTGCCAATTTGTGTGGCAAGAGCTTCAGATGCCAGGCTGTCGAGCATGCGGGGGTGGGTGAATATGACTTGGAGTACCTGCAGTACTTGAAGGAGGTCTGCAGCCGTGCGGGGGAGAAGGGCTTTTGGGTCATCATCGACCCCCACCAGGACTGCTGGTCTCGTTGGACCGGTGGGGATGGAGCACCCGGCTGGACCTTGGAGGCCAGGTGCTCGGGGGGGCATGCGAGCAGATGGATTGCCAGAGGCCCCGTTGGGTGTGTATCATTTGTTGAGAGAACCAGTGTTTATTTACTTGAACCGGAAACCCAAGAAAAACCAACCATTTTGGGGAGTCCCTAATTTTAAGACACCCTTATGATGGGGTGTTGCTATTGTTTCACAGGCTTAGGGACTCCAGTTTTTTGGGCTTGGGGAGAGCGTCTTTGTTTCTTTGCTGCTGTGAGGTTCAAATCCCTGGCCCATGTTGGCCCTTCACCCCATTTTGGGTGAGCTCTTGTTCTCGCATCCTCTCAATGCCTCAGGCCGTAGGTGCCCCAGAATGGATTCGTTTTGAAACCCCGAAAAGGGTGCCGAGCTTCAACAAAAGCACAAGGGTACCTCCGAAATCATGTTTTTTCTTTTCAACTTCGTTTTGACCCAGACTAACATGGAACCCACCGAACTTTGTAGAGGAATCGACCTTTTTTCCCCAACAGCCGAAAGCTGTGGGGTCTCCGCCCAGACAGGCTCTGGCCTAGTTTGGGGGGCAGCTTTCAGGAAGGGTTCAAAAGGAGATTCGGTTCCAGGGGCTTCCCGTTGGGCTGTTGGGGATACCACCAGTGCGTTTCGCCGGATTTCTCCAAAATCTAGAAAGGTGTTCCTTTTGGTTTTTTACCGAAAAAGGGGGTTACCTTCAAACATGTCCTTCGCCTAAAACCCATGTTTGGTGTAGCTCGACTTGGCATCGGTCCTGTGCACGGCGAAGCAGTGCAGCAGGCCGCAATTGGGCCGCGCACGAGACGCGGCATTAAAAGGGCCGTGCCAAATCGGCAGCGGTCCTTACTGGCCTGGATGCTGTCCACTGGACGAGAGCCGTCCGAGTGTCAGCGAAAACGCCCTCAGGGAACCCAACCCAAATCCCGGCTTGAGGGGGAAAAACCCGGCAGCAAACAAGATCGATACCACCCACAAACCAGCCCTCGATGCCGAATTTGAGTGAGGCCCCTTGCACAACTTTCTTGACAAGTTGGATGTGACGAGCCAAAGTGGGTCGCTCGAAACAGCAGGGCCGATTTTCGACCGGCACCCATTGACCAGCTGTGCTGCTGGGCACCGGGAATGAAACACCTCCCAAAATCAGGCCAACGGTAAGCTCAAGCCAACTGATGGCTTGGGCTGAGCTGCATTGGGCGTCTCCAAGGAGAAGCCACTCAAGCAAGGAGGATATAAAACATGCAGGCAGACCGTGGAAAGGATCGTGCTGTACAAGTCGCTTCCAGTTCAACGGGAACCGGTCTGCGAGAGCGTCATCACGCTCAACTCTTTGGCATACCAGTATGGCCTTCAATGATGCAGGCATGCTCGGCTCGTCCTGTTCTTCAGCGGCAGCGTCAACTGGCGAGTCGGCAGTGGCTATTGCAAAATACAATGTCCGAAGCTCTCGGCTGGAGGCAATGTAGGACGAAGCGTGGTGCTTGGCCTGACTGATCACCTCTTGCAGGTCGGGTGACCTGTTTTGGTTCGCAATTCTCGCAGCCCGATCAGCTTTACTGTTGTTACATGCGAGCCATTCCTCTGGCTGATCCAAAGGCATGCGCTCAAACAAGCGTGTAATTCAGCTCTGTTGATGGTTTGCGCCGCCCCGGGAACCTGTCCGCTCGCAATGCAAGTGTTAGAATTGGCGCAAATGACTGCCCAGGCAGCCAAGGGAAAGCCAAACTGGTTGTCGGAAAGGCAGGAACCGTCTGTATACAGATGCTGAAGTGCCCCGGGCTGAGGTGATCCACCAACGCTTGATGCGGTAGTGTCGGAAATCTGCATGAGCATCCGTTTGTATTCGAGGGTCCAGGGATTGCGAGGGACCAACAAATGGTGAGTAAAACATCGTGGCAGTGTGCTCCATTTGGAGCAAACCTCGGAAGCCTGTGATCTGGCCGAAGCATACCTCGGGCAATGCAAACACTGATGTTCATACGAATCAACCACCCCGCAGAGGGGACAATGCGGGGACAAATCAAAATGGCTGTAACGCGCATTACTCCGGAAAGTGCCATCTTGGATCACAGCCAACCTGGATTTCTCAAAGCTGGTAAGCCTGGAGTAATCCAGACGGCACAAGGAGAGATCGAGACCAATAGCATCCGACATGGACGGGCGCGACAGGGAGCAAGCAAGCGATTGAGCCCAACCATCTTCCAAAAGTGCGGACAGGGCTGAGTCGGACATCTGAAGCAAGTCATGCTCGAGTCCATCATGATCAAGGACAATCGGAGGGGTCCCAATAGTCCAACCAATGGACCCCAGAATCTGAATCAACTTCGAGAAAGGCCCGGGCAGCAAGTGCCCACCAAAGCGCCGCATAAAGGCACGCCAGTGATTAAGAACACAAGGTTGCTTGCGACAGAGCCTGCGGATGCCACGGGTAACGCCCATCAACTGGGAAAAGCCAGGGTCGGCAAGTGCCTGCCCAGTGACAAAAAGCCGAAGGCGGGGATCAGAGCCCGCTTTGTTTACCCGGAGGGCGCGAGTGGCCGAGCTCAGCCGCTGGACGTGTTGGTCGCCCGAAAGCAAATCGAGATGCTATGGAGGGCACGAGGCTGGAAGAGTGCCTCAAGCTTCGCCCCAAAGGGCGCGGTGGCTCTGCGCAAGGCTTGCCACGAGGCATCCAAGGAGGCGCATCGACGAACCTGCCCAGAGTTCCGGAGGGCCTGGCCAAATGAAAGGGTGCCCCCGGCTCCAGTGACCCGCATGTCGGGAGTGTTGCCCCAAGCAAACGTTTTAGCAAGATCAACATCAAGTTGCCACATGTCGCAGAAGGCTTGCATCAGTACCCATCCCCGGGCAACGAGAGCACCAGAGCCCGCATTAAACCCAAGATTGTCGACAAATGACAACATTTCGATATCCGGAGCAAAAGCCCAAAAATAGCAGTGAAAGGCCAAGTCAGTCAAGCACATAGCGAAGAAGACACTGAGCGGACAACCTTCAGCAAAGCCACAATTCGAGCGAAGGCCAGCAGAGAGGCTGCCTCGCACATCGAAACGGCGTTCGAAGGAAGCGAGGAAAGCGGCCCAAGCATTCACTAAATGTGTGTGCTTGGCAATGGCAAAGATGGGTGCTTTGGGGAGATTGTTAAAGGCTTTGACAATGTCAGTGGTGACACCACCAAGTGAGTCATGTCATTACCCTGGGTGGCAACCTCAATGCAGGCCTGCAGAGAGTACCAGTACTCAGCGGCCTCCCGGTGGGGCAAGAATGACAGGTCATGAGAGGGTTGAGGCACACGGCAACAAATGGAAGCCCTGAAAATGACTATGATAGTTGCCGCACTGACCTTGGAGAGACTATGGACAATTCCAAGAAGCAACTGCTCAGGCCAGCCGACGACGAACGCAGGGTTCATGTGCAGCAAGTCGAGCGTGGCATGGCCATCAGGACCACGCGCAGCTGTGGGCTTGTAGCCCCGGACCGCGGAGGCAAGAAAAGGCCGCGGGGGAGAAAGGCATGGGCAAAGGCCAGGACACGATGCCAGTGGTCAGGGAGCAAATTTGCATGCTTCTGCCATCTGGGTTGCCAAAGAGAAACGAATTCGCGGTGTATATCAGCAGTGTCGGCGACAAAACGTTTCTGAGTGAGGGTCTGACCAGGATATATGAGCTGATCAGTGTCGATTTGGCAGTTGCAGTCACAAATTGAGTCCACTACAACCGCTCCTTGGTCAAGCCACCATGAGGAGTGGGACCCTGAGTCAGTTGGCTTGTCGAGGAGCACTGCACAGTTCGACAGATTGACCGCAAGCGCAACAAAATCGTGCTGAGCAGACACAGAATCAACGGGCTGCGGCCTGTCTGTACGAAGCTGGCCAAACAGAGTGGCTCGATACTGTTCAGCCTTAGCCTTCAAGGAGCGGCGCCTTTGCTGGAGGTGCCAGGCTTCGAATCGCCTGAAGTTGCCAATCGTGCCTGCATCAGGGACGCACTGTGGCAAAGAAGCCGGGCTCGCCGCAAGTTTGACAGGGCGAGTGGGCCACCATCTCTAAAATCCATTCTGGAACCCAGCAGCGCGAGCGATCGAACTCCATAGCTCGATTCGGCAAGTGTTGGCTTCAGGGGTCTGCTTGGCTTAAACCACTGACGAACAGCCACCCCAACAAAATCCGACGCGAGAGATTCCTCACCTTCCCGACTGGGTTTGGAAAGGTGAGCGCCAAAAGGCCGGAAAGAGGGGGCGCGACGTTTGCCACGGCCGCGGCATCGGGCAGGCAAGCCACGGACCGACGGGTATTGAACATGGGATGACAGGGGCTCCTCGAAGGCTGAAAGGGAACCAAACCACAAGGTGCCGTTCCCCTGCCGTGAAGGAGGTATGACCTGTTGACTGTGCCAAGTTTGGACTTGGGCCTGGTCCCATGGGATGGGCGCCGGAAGCGCCCAGGCGCACTGAAGCTGAGCAGCCTCGGGAAAGGCAAGCTCAGCGGTAACGAACGCATGGTGAACCTTGACTCCCTGAAACAAAGCAACCGCCTCGGGAGAAAGGAAAATGAGGTCACGTTGAGTGGCGTGTTTGCAGGCAGCACTCCCCACAAGCGCTCAGCAAGCGACTGGGCTTCCACCCACCCCAGTTGCAGCCACATCTACTTGTTCAAGGTGGCTGGGGCTCTGGTTGAAGTCCCCGCATATCAAGCGGACCCCGCTCCTTCCAAGCACAGAAGATGATTTGTCATGTCCAGGCCCGAGGATAGGTCGGGCCAGTGGGAAATCCATACAACGAGGCTGAGATGACATCACAACCACAGATCGCGTGCTGTGCGACAGTGATGCGCCCAGATTCGAATTCAAGGCCACTCCAAGGAAGGGAGACCATTCGACAAGGAAAGTCCGACACAATCATCACTCCGCTCCATGAGCCGGCCCAGTCCGAATTGCACTGAAGGGAAACAGGAGCCCCGGGAACAACACGCATCTGGGCGGTGGGCCTGCCTCCCTAAGCAAGAAAAGGCTCGCTTGGTAGAAGCCAAAGTGACGGAGGACAGGTGCCATACCCCAGCACCTAGCTCAGTGACGCGGCTCCTTGCCCCGGAGCCGGGAGGGATTAGAAGTTCCAAAGCGATCGACGCATGAAGGGTGTGACCTCTCCAATGCGAAAAGGAGTACAGGTGAAATGCGAATGCGGGAAAGACCAAACTCAAAGCACGCTGAGAAACAGCCGCAAGAGGTGAACAGAGAAAAGCCATCCAAACTGCAAGGCAAGCTGATCCGACAAGTCTTTGCGCACGGTGGAGACCGCGGACTGAACTGAGGTGTGGATGTGGCTGGACTGCTCTGTAACTGTCTGCTGAAGCTGGGTCAGCTCATGGTGCTGCTGCTGGACAGCGGTCTTGAGTTGAGTGATGCTAGCATCATTTTGGTTGGCCTGAGAAAGGGCGTCACGCACACTGTGCAATCGCCACTCCTCCCTGGTTGGAAGAGATGTCGCCAAAAGGGCACTGGGTCAGCAGGCTGGGCCTCATCGTCCTGGAACTTCTGCACAAGGGTGAGCGCGTTGCAGAGGCAGGCTCAGGACCCCAAGCACACAAAGACAGCCGAGAGCAACCGCTGCACGGCGGCAGTGAGGCCAAGGTGGAAAATGGAGGAAAGGTCAAAAATGGATGTCAGGAATGCAAGTGTAGCAAGCATGGAGGAAGGCGATAGTGCCGCAGACCTGAGGGTCCTGTTGCACAAAGATCTGAGCAACCTGAAATCCACTGAGCACACAATTCCAGTGAAAGCAAAACCACTCCGCAAAGCGCCTTGCAGTCGGAGCATGTGAGGCATCAAGTCCATCAAGCAAAAGAGCATTGACTGTGTCGCCCTCCTTAGTGAGAGTCAGGCAATCCAATGATGCGTATGGACAAAGATGAGCCCAAGGGTAGAAACCGAGGCAAGAAAGTCAAGCAGCCAGGAAGGCACACAGCGAGGAGTCCGAGAACAGAAAAACGAAGCACCAAGGATCGAGGAATCCAATGTTGGGAGGTGCCACGTCAAGGACACTGAGCAATGCCTGACGTCAGTTAGCCCAACTGCATATTCTGTCCCAGTTCCAGTGAAGGCCGATCGCAGATGGGATCCACTCCACTGTGATTGGTGACACCCGTTTCCTCACCCGGCCGAGGCCGGCTTGCTCAACTCTGTCCCTGTCTCCTTTGTGTATGACTTGAATTGTCGATGGGCCCTCTGTCTGGTTGGCCAAATTGCGGCACCGCTTCAGGTTGTAGAAATTGCTTCCCACATCATGCGTTGGTTCCAGCTTGACAGTGGACATGCTTGCCCTGGTCTTCCTATCCATGCGGTTGAGCACGCAAGGGACCGAGGCAGCAGAGTGCAAGAACCAACCATAACGCCTGCTGGCCCATTGATCACCCAGCTCAAGCACAACAGTCTGGACAACAAAGCCGGCAAGATCAGCAAAGCGATGGATGGTCTCCAGTACTGTCGGATGCTGCTGAACAGAGGCCACACACCCGCGGACTGGCGAAGCCATGTGGCACGGAGGATGTGGTGGAGTGTGTCGCTGCGGGAATCCAGTGATCCAAGACGGTCGCCTTGCCGGGAGTAAGGCTGACATGGGAATCCAGCCGTCATCAAAGCTGGGTGTTGAACCTCAACTGCACGCAGGTCACCAACAATGCTGTCGTGACTGATGTTCCCACAAATGATCGTAGCTGTTGTGTTGGCCTTCAAGGCGCGACATGCCAGAGGGCTGATGTCAACCAGAGCAACTGTGCTGAATCCGCAAAACGTGAAGCCGAACAAACTGTGTTAATAATCTCACCAACCTCCAAGTTGAAAAGACTCCACTTCCCTGCCGTCAGTGTCGAACCTCGGATGATGAAATCCTGCGAAGGGCTGATGCCTTGCATGTAGGAGCCATCAAGTGTGTCTCGCATCCATGTTGCAACCAGGGAAATTGCATGCCCCGGTGCCAGTTCTCGAATAAGCGGGTCCATAGCTGACAAGGTTCCGAGCTTTGGTCGTTAACAGCCGTGCGCCTGGAAGGACTCGGGCCGACAGCTCCCATGTTTGGTGTAAACCCATGGGTGTTTTTTGTTTTTTGTTTCAGACGCTTTTTTGGGGGCCGGCTTCAGGCCGCCGGCTTCAGGCTGGGCCCAGAGCTGCACAGCAGCGGGGCGGCCTTCCTGCACCAAGAGCACGGCGACCCGCTGCCCTCCATGTCTTGGCCCACGAACTACGACAAGCTCCTGGACCAAAACAGGCTGACCCCTTTTCTCTCAAACCTGACCTCGTTTTGCTTCTTTTTCTCTCAACTTGCTTTTTTCTGTTTGTTTCCTCGATTTCCTTGTTGTTGGCTTGTGTTTAGGTTGTTCTGGACCAAACTGGGCGACCCGTCTCGAAAACTAGTTCTTTTTGCTTCGAAACCTCCTTTTCCAAAGCTTCACTGTTCTTGGATCAAGTTCTGTTCGTGTTAGTGGGGGGGCCGCAACAAAGCATCATTTTTGCTACCGTCCCAACGGTTGGAAAGCCCCAGCTAAAAGCTTTTAACTTGGGGTCTAAGTCTGGTCAAGACCACTTCCCAGCGAAGCGACCTGATTTCACCCCTGAGTTTCTGCTGCTTGGGTTCCCAGTTTTTGTGGCCGCGAAAGATGAGTCTTTTATTGCTGGCTGAGGTTGGCGTGCGCCACCATGTTCAGCACCTTTGGTCTCAAATCTTTGTCCCGCTGTGTGTTTGTTTTTTGCCGGTGGTGGGGGAGGGACTATTTTGAGAATTACTCATACGCGCATGATGTTCTTCATCACAAGAAGTGATGTGTTTATTGAGGTCCATGGTTGTACTAGGGATGCCTTCCCCATTCTTTCCAGGGATCCTTCTTTCTAGAAAACCTCCGGAAACCAAAGGGAAACGGCTGGTTTTTTTTAAAAAAATGGTTGAAAAGAATGGGGAATCAACCCCTAGAGTTGTGTAGTTGTTGCAGAACTGAACCTGTCACTGTCCTCAGGCCTGTTCTGGGCGGGCGACCTCGTCGCTCCGGGCGTCCAGGATAACCTGAACCAAGGCGGGAGGTCGTCAGAATCGTAAGATAGAATTGTTCTTGCCTCACCCATGTGTGTGTTTCTCAGAATTAGGGACCTCTTTTTGGTCTGGTTTGAAGAAAAGCTGGAAGGACACCAAACACCTCCCTAATTTTGAGAAATAGAGCCGAAAGTGAGGCCCGGGTCTCCTTTGGTTTCCTTTCAGCACAAAAGGGTAAAACGCACACACACACAAACACACACACAAACACACATTCAAACA